TTCCCCAGTATTCTCCTCTTCTCCTCTCTTCCTTTCCTTCATTCATCTCTTGTTAGTACATGGGGATCTGCCCGGCCCGAGAGCCGTCGCCAGTCCCCTTCGAGGCCTTCCCAAAACCGCAGCACCATTTCACACTTCCTCATCCCTCATCGCCCATCGTTACAGAGGAGGTGGTCCCAGCTAGTGAAATAATATTCAACCATTAAGTGAACAATTAAAGAAATATAACTCCTAAATACTTCTACAGTTACATGCTGAAGTTCAGTGTGTAGCTGCTACAAACATCTGTTACCTAGTTCCCACATGTGTTGTATATAACCTCTCCAAGTATGTCTTGGTCCAGTAGCCCACTTCTCATCAGTTCGCGCTCATATTTTGAGGTAGGCTCAGTAACATGGGCACTACTCAGCACACTGAGCAGCGTTGTGTCTTCAAACACTTTGTCTGTAACTGTAACACATTCCAGTCAGCTCGTGATGTTGAGCTGATCAGAGCAGGCTTTAGTTTCAGTGTCGAACATTAAGAATTTCACACATAAATACTAATCTGGTCAATTTAACTTCCGATTTAAGGTCAGACGTTTATTTATATAAATGCGAATATGTCAAGAGTATTCTAACATTTATATATACATCATTCGATTTCCACACAATACCTTTTGACTGCAGCTTCAGCTGGTCAGTCTCAATCTTCTGACTCTCCAGCTTTGCTGCCTGATCTGAAATAAATGAAAATATTTTTTTTATTTCACTGCATTATTAATTGCTGAAAACAAATATTTTTAAAAGACATTCAGTTTCACAAGACAGCACAGCAGACAACCAGTCTGTCCAACTAAAATTGTACATGGATGAAAAATATTTACGGGAATATAAATCTCACTTCAAACAGCGCTGACTGTCACGGCGGCGTGCGCCGAAAACGAGGTAGACCCAGATGCAGACACGGTGAGACCAAACAAAGTTTCAAAAATAAAGCGAGTCTTTATTGTAGCTGATGGCACAAGAAAAACATGAAACTAGGGAAACTAAGGAGACTATGACAAAGGGCTGTGACACTCAGTGAACAAACTATGAACACTGAGTAAACTAGGAAACACACAGACTAAATATACATAAGGAATCATCAAGGGAAGTAGAATCACATGGAGAAAACAGCTGACAACAATTAACATAATGATTGGACAGGAGACGTGAAACTAAATACAATACAAGGCTCTTTCAAAATAAAACGGGAAACATAACGAGACACAGACATGACTCGAACTTGACAAACAAAGAAAACTTGGACATGAAACATGACAGATAAACACACGAAGACTTAACATGACAAGCTGACACAGAAAACTTCACACAGGGATGAGACAAATGGAGAGCTTGTTAAATCATGAACTAAAACTGTAACCTAGGCATGACAGTATGTAACTAGATAAACTGAAATGAAACTAGACTCAAAAGAATACCAAAAACATCAAGAAGCTCAGAATACTGGGTCACACGACCCAGGACCATGACACTGACTGTCACAGTCGGACGGTCCTGCCGGACGACCTGCTTGGTTATTTGTGATGTGTGTGCGCCTTCCTCTCTTTTCTCTCTCTCCATCCCTATTCTGCGGGTCTGCCTAGGAGCAGTGTCTCCGAGAGAGTGAGAATGGCCGACCTCTGACCCGGAAGTGTAATCTTCCGCTCCAGCTCCCGCTAATCATTCCTGTCGCTACCCGATCCGTACCGGAAACCCGATCCGTACCTCGCATGCGCAAATCTTACGTCACTTCCTCTCTTTGCCAACATTGCGACATTCAATATATTTGAATGATACGGTTAGC